ATCCTCAGTTACGTGGATGGGGAGTCCTGGACCACCAAGCCACTCTTTATTCAAAACACCATTTTGGCATTATTTAGCTTCTCTTGAAGCTAGAGAATTTCATTTCTCTTGCAACCTGTTAAGGTTGAAACAAAAAAGTTTTTTTCTGACAGGTTTTGCCATCGGTATGCCAGTGTGTGAGTTTGACCTGGTGAAGGACCCTGAAGTCCAGGACTTCAGGAGAAACATCCTGAATGTGTGCAAAGACTCTGTGGAGCTGAGAGATGCCAGTGGACCCCACAGCAGAGCCCTCTATGTGTATCCACCCAACGTCGAATCCACGCAAGAACTCCCCAAACACATTTACAACAAATTGGACAAAGGTGGGCGGAGTCACATCACGAAAATACGACAGCAGTAATTGACAATTTTTTTTGCTGCTTGCCATTTGTTGGATTACTAAAGTATAAAAAGTAGGGGCTTCATTGATCATTTCCTCACCTCAACGTTGACCTGTTTGTCTCTGGCTGTTTTAGGTCAAATTATTGTTGTCATTTGGGTGATTGTTTCTCCAAATAACGACAAACAAAAGTATACATTGAAGATCAACCATGACTGTGTGCCTGAACAGGTCAGTGAATATCTTCTAACACACACGTGCGCGCGCACACACATACACGCAAAGGTTGGGGGATACGGTTGTATTTTTAATTTAAAAGAACATCTGGTTCGCCATCCAGCATAGCCTTTATTGTCGTTGTCATAACGGCTGCTTTATCAAACCAACAATTGACAATCGTTTGTTTTTTTTTTTTTTATCGCAGGTGATTGCGGAGGCCATTCGGAAGAAAACGCGCAGTATGCTGCTCTCCCCTGAGCAACTGAAGATGTGTGTTCAGGAATATCAGGGTAAATACATCCTCAAAGTTTGTGGCTGTGACGAGTACCTGCTGGAAAAATATCCAATCAGCCAATATAAGGTGAGTCACATGTTGGCAGAGTTTGCATCATCAAGTCAATTTGGTCAGACAGCTTCCCTTGAAGTCATTTCTCAAAAGATGACTTCTCGGAACTCTTCTGACCGATGACCTGAGAACCCCATCAGACTGCCCGCCTTTTACATGCGCGCTTTCTCTCTCTGTGTCTCTGCCACCAGTACATCCGCAGTTGTATCATGCTGAGCAGGATGCCAAACCTGATGCTGATGGCCAAGGACAGCCTGTACACCCAGTTGCCTACTGATAACTTTGTCATGCCTTCATACTCGCGTCGCATCTCCACGGCGTCATCGTACATGAACGGCGAGGCGGTCGCCAAGTCGCTCTGGACCATCAACGGAACGCTGCGAATACGGATCCTCTGTGCCACCTATGTTAACGTCAACATCAGAGACATAGACAAGGTGGGAAGAGACATATTACACGGGACAAATACCGCTACCGTATTTTCCGTACTAAAAGGCGCACCTGAAAGCCTTCCATTTTCTGAAAAGCTCACAGCGCGCCTTAAAACTCCAATGCGCCTTGTGTGTATGGTCATAACGGTAATATGTCAACCCCAAAGTGTCTCCTTGCTCGAGACATGCTGACAACGCAGAGTGTCTCTCCTTGCTCGAGACATGCTGACAACGCAGAGTTCAAACTTAAGGCGACCGGTTACGCAGTTAAACATGGAAATACAGCAGCGGCAAGAGAGTTCAATGTTAACGAGTCAACGTTATAACTTGCTGTTGGTTAAGTGAAATGTGTTGCTGCTTTATTAAATAAGTTTTACTGACATCTGATCGTGCTGTTGATGTTTTCTTTAGTGTAGCTCCATCTAGTGGATGCATTGTAGATTGCGTCTTATAACGCGGTGCGCCCAATGTATGA